GACGGATTTACACAATGAAAGTACACTCTGCGCATCAAGTATTTCACTATTTCATTCAAACGTAAATGTCAGATGTAAATTTCGCTAAAACATTTCTTTTATTTTCGTTTGTGTTTTTTGCTCATTACAGTTTAATAGAACCTAAGTATGGAGTTTAATAGCAAATTAAGAGGCCGCGTGATTAACAGTCAATCTCGCGAAATAATAGCCAATGTTATAGAGTTTATGAGAAGAGAAGGAAACTTTAATTCACCTTCAATACCATTTAAAAATGTAAATGATCGTGTTGCTGCAGCCACAGGAGCATCTAAAAACACTGTCGTCCGCATTTCTGGAGAGAAAAAAAGAATCGATAACAGTGAGATATCGGAATTTTCATCACCAAGAAAAACCATTAAAAAACCAAAAACAGTTAATGATATAGATGAAGCTGCACAAGAATCAAATTTTATTTTTTTATTATTAGATAGCTATTTTTGTTTCTGAGTTGTGTTCATTTACAGGCTCAATTTTTTTCCGTTTCTCCTTTTTGATTTTATATGGGGTTTCAAGTTGTTTTTGACTTATTACGACGTAAATCACAACAACACACTTTTTTAATAAAGCAAACAAGTGTTAAGAGGTATATGTACGTGTAAACTACAATTACAAAAAATTGATATGAAACCCATGAAACCACCAACAAAAATGTAAAGCTAGCTTCCGTACTAGAACAAAATTATAAGAGAAATAAATTTTTTTCTAAATAGTATAGTTTATTATTTTTCAGAAACAACCGTTATTAATAATAGGTACCATTTTCCTTAATAAGGTAGAAATAAAATATAAACTATTTCCACGATTTACAAAGGCCTACAAAAAAATTATAGGTATTTTCCGCTATCCTATAAAATTTATATTTTCTGACTCAATTTCAAAAGGTTGAAGGAATTCCAAAACACCTTTTATGGCATAATAATTATTTTCAATTCTACATACTATCTTTAGCTGCTTTTAAAAACGTTCTAAGAAAGTCCAATCAGACCAATTTAATCCCTAAACTATTCCACACTTTTAAAATTTAATTACCTAAAAATATTAAAAACTATTTAAAATAACTTGTTTAGCAGACTGTACAATAGCTATCTTAGTCACACGTAGCGCCTTCTCTGTCTGGGCGTCGAACACCTCTAGAAATTTGATGAACTGTAAATTAATAATTTCTCATTTGCATATTTTGGGTTTTTATTTTGTGGTACATAAGTTTCTATTTCCTATCATTATTTATCAATCCTATTCAATGAAATGATCGCTGTTCATAAAATGATCCGCATTTAAAAACCATCACGCAAATACGCATTTGAGATATGCCATTCTCTGGACAAAGCAAATCATCTCGGCTATTATTTATCCACATTGTGTTCTTTAATAGATAAAAAAATTGTAACACATTTTGTTCCATTTACAATTCACATTGAATACACACAATAGAATATATACCATGGCAAATATATACCACGTGTCCTAGTTGGTCATTATTAGGCTATTTAAAAACGGAAAATACTTAGGAAGAATATATAACAATAAATTTAAAGAAGAAATGAGAAGAACACAAAATCTTTTAATCACATGGCCTTTATTTAATTAGATTAGTTTTTAAATTATTTAAGTTTTCTAGTGTTTTCTACCTTAATCCATGTCCAGATCAAAAAATATTTACGTTATGCGTTGTATTTGACGAAAATTTGCTCATGTTCGTCAAAATATTTCTAGATGTGGACTGTGCGCCGCATAAAGAAACACGCAAATATTGGCGCCAGATACAATACACGCTATCCACCGGTCTGTCGGTTTTTCTGCTAACTTCAAAGAGATTTGCGTCGAACGACTCTCGAGTGCTTGTTTTAATGTGGAGTTTAGAGTCGAAATTCCAACTCTTTCTCCTTCGGCACAGACCTGTCTGCATGCCTACTGATTTCTACTCCGCAATCTAAACATGTGTTGCATCCGGTATAAGAAAGTGAAATTTACAAATATTCAAAATTGCAAATTACTTTTTTATCTCCTATTTATTTTCAATTTATTTCAACAATGAATGTTTCAAACCAATTCCTTCTCTTATTCTACTAACAAATTCTAATACAATTTTAACTTTTCCAAATCCTGACAATATTCTTTCTCTCCGACAATCTCTTTTTCCAAAATTCTCTCCCAATCAAAATTGACTTTTCCCCGAAACTTATTTTATAATCTTTTCAGGACCTAAAATAGATTAATAAAATTTTGACTTTATGTCATTAATTTTATTATATCAAATCCCCCAAATTTTGTATTTAACTAATTTATTTCCCAAAATAAATTATTTTTTTATTGGTACCCTATTTTACTTATTTAACGTACGCCTCAGCGTGTTAAAAAAAACGCGCGTGTTTTAAAGTTGCCATGACAACATCAACAACCCGAGAAACGTGATGTCTAAATGACAACTTTTTAATTATTGATCTGACAGGAGTGCCTTGTAATGGCAAATAAAATATTTCTGAGAAATTTTTCAAAAAATTTATTCAAATATTTTTTCACATTCTTAATTGTTTAAATGAATGTGGAGAGTACCGTTAGTATTGTTTGAAATCAGAGGAAAGATTGCTAACATTCTTGAAAGTCAATGAAGTTGTACTTCCATTAATAGCACTTCCAATAATATTTGAAACATTCTTCTTATTGCTAATGCTCTCTTCAACGTAACCAGTCGCCACAGCTGCCGATTTCCATCCTACTTGTCGTTGGATTTGATCTATTGTCTTGCCATTGTTCGCCATAATGGTAGCGGACGTACGTCGAAATGCATGTCCAGTATATTTCTCAGGATCGTCCAATTTAAGATAACGTGCAATTTGCTGGGGACATGATCCAAATGTATTAATACCAACCACTTGATTGGTGCACTTCCCCTTATCATACCGTAAGAAAATTCGGTCTGTATTTACATTTTGGGGGCGCAATGATAAATACTGCTTCACCAAACGCACATATCTAATTGCATCACTATCGGCAACAGTAAAACGTCGAGACTTCACTGTCTTAGATGGTCGGATAGTAATAAGCTATAAGCTTTCTTCTTCCTTGATATCAGCTAAGCGTAAATCGCACAATTCACATCTTCTACAAGAGCCAAAGATGCCATAAATAGCAACCACCTTCAAAAATAAATACGTAATGTCCGGTGCATCTGTAAAAAACTTCCGCAAATCGTCTTCCTCGAATACATATGCCTTCTTGACCACCTCATTTTTGCTAATTGCCTTCATGAATGCATGCATTGACGAACGATTTTATATCGACCCCTTTGTTTATCCTCAACATACTTTGTAATTTTTAATGGATAGTCCACATAGTCGATACTTTATACTGTTCCGACATTTTCTGAAGATAAGCGAGAACAACTCGTTCATCTATATGTGTAACCATTTGCTCTTCCATCCACGTGTTGAATTTATAATTGAATTTTATAAACCGCTTCGGATTTTTGTGGTATTAAGCGCGATTTTGCTTTATTATTTAAATACTCAATATTTGAACTCATTTAAAACAATAACAACTGTTGCGACAATTAATCTTACGTGACAGATTGAAAATAAATTTTTGTTTGCCTCATTTTCATGACAACGAGGTATGCTGATGTTACATCACAAATTCAACCATTTTCAGTTATTAGTTCTTATTTCCATTTTTTTTGTAGAAATAATACCAATATTTAGGATTTCAAAGTATACCAATAAAAAAATAGCGTAAACTATTCGTGGATAACTGGTCTTTAAAACACTTGCTCTATTTCGAAAAATCGCGCGTGTTTTAAAGACCGTTATATCCACTTATACTTTAATATACTATTTTTTACTTTGCTTTATCCAAACTATTGATACCTGAACCTACACATTCACTCATATTCACATTCAGTAACAAAAAAAAAACAAATATTCCTCATTTAACTATTAAATTGTTATATACAATATATAATATACAATATAATATATCTTATTTCAAGTTCATTTTTCCATATTCTATTCTTATTTTGATTTTTACATTTGTCTGTCCACCTTCTTAAATTTATATATTTTCTTTGACTTTGATCTTTACTTTTTCGTTCTCCCATAATCTTCTATTTCTCATTATCTTTCCCAATTCCTGCCTATGTTTTATTTTCGTTTTCCTGTGCCATATGTTTTTATTCTTTTGTTTGCAACAAATTTTTTTTTATGTACTTTTATATTTCTCAGTTCTTTTTACATTTCGTTTCCTACTTTCCTTTATCTTAATTACTTTTTTCTGAAATAATTCTTCTCCATTTATTTTTCTTTTACCTCTGTTAATTTAATTCTTCAATTTTAGTTTTCTTTTAGTGTGTTTACTTATTTCTTCAATTTCTATTCCTGTCTCTTCTAGCTTTTTGCTCAAATTTTTTTCTTAAATTTTTTGGTCGCCTATTTTTTTGTTTGTTTCACGTCTAAATAAAAGAAATGTTTAATGCATAATCTTGCAAATTTTCAACTTCTATACTTTTGCCAGTCATTTCAATTATTAATTCTTCTCTTGCTGCTTCTATCCTATTTTCTGCTAATAACTTTGACTTTATTTCTTTTACTCCTACTTCCAATTTCTTTTCTACCTTCTCTATTTCGTTTCTCATATTCTGTTTTATGTTTTTCTCCATTCCCTCCATTTTCTTTATAATTTCTTCTTTGTCTTCACTTCTTTATCATTTCTCTTATTTTCATCCATTTTTTGTCCATTCCATCCATTTTCTTAATCATCAAGGCCACTCATACCTATGTCTTCATCTTCTTTTTTTAATGATTTTTCACTGTCCTTTCCTTCGTCAAATGTTTCTTGTAGATAATGTATTTCCACTTGTTCCACATTACAAATTTAAAAATTAACAATTGGTAATAACATTTTAAATTTTTTATTCAATCTTTTCAAATCGTGATGATGTATTCTAGCAATGGTTTTTTTTGTTTCAGTAAAAGCAAGAAGTTCACCTGGAAGCAAAAATGTTCTCTAATAATGTTACTAACAGCGGATTTCATGTGTTATTGTTCAATGTCCATCATGGCGCCATTTTATCCTCAAGAAGCTGCGAATCGAGGAATGACGCAGTCCATGGCTGGATTCGTATTCGGATACTTCGCATTAGTTATATTTCTTTCCTCCCCGATATTTGGGAAACTAGTAAGTGCTAAAGTTATGAAAATACCTACTACAATATCGAGGGTATCAATTATATGAAATCCCATGAAGGGATCTTGTTTCTTTTTCGACTTTAGACCTATTATGTTATTTAAGTTGGTGGTAGTGATCCTCTTTCTTACTATCTAATAATTGAAGACACCAGTGGATGAAGGGCCTATGTAGCAAAATAATTTTTACGAGATATTTCGTGTTAAAGTTTATTGTTTCACAGTTATTCCCTAGTACATGGGTCCTTTATCCACTAGCAATTTCTATATTTGATGATATATTGTCACGGAAGACATTTTAAACGAATTTTAGGTACATAAGCCCTTACATCATCACAGAAAAACACCATTTAAAAGAAAGTTACATAGGCCTTTCATCCACTACTTGTGTTTATAATTATTTCACAATTCTTTTGAGCTGTTTTATCTCATCCACTCTGTTTATATGCCCATAAAGCTGAAGTGCGTTATTTTATAAAACTTCTGTGTACATTTTTCACTTTCTCAATCAAGTTCATAATCAAAAACTCCCAGCATTCTTATTTTAACTCTTAATTATCAATGGCCCAACTTCTGTGTAACATTATTTTGAACTAAACTTTGAGGAAAATTCGTATTATATTATTGGCATTTGCAATTTTCCCTGCTGCAAGTAAAATTGTGGCAATAACGTGTTGATTAAGATCATTTAAAAAAGGGTATGGAACAAAAAACTACTTCAACCTCGAGCATGTCAAATATATCAATCCTGTTTTAATGAGCTATATATTATAGCGCATAATTATTTAGTGATATTGTTATATCCTTTCGCTCATTATTGGTTGTTTTACTGCTTTACCTGATCAAAATAGAACTATCAGCAATTTTATTTTAACCTAAACGAACTAAAAGCATATAATCAGATTTCAGTGTTCTTATTTTGTCTTCGTCAATAGCCTTACTTCTGTAAAACAATATTTTAAACTAAACTTTGAAAAACATGGATACATATTGTATTTTCTTAAGTTGGCAAATCTTAGAGCCACTTTATCAACACTTGCTTTCCCTACTCTATAACAAAAGGAACACCAGGAACTATTAAAATTAATAACGAATAAAATCACTAAAAAAAGCTACTATAATAAATTTGTAAAATATAAATAATACTTCTTTCTTTTTCAGTGTCCAAAATTAGGAGTTAAATTTTTATTTATCATTGGTTTATTTACTTCAGGAATTTGCACTGTGATATTTGGGTAAGTTTTAAAGTAAAACCCATAGAAAACGGGTCATTAAAATAATACTTAGTAACACACAAAAAATATATCATTTACTATTACATATTAATCGGCATCATTAGGAAAAATATAACTACTTAGTTAATTGGTTCATTTTCGGAATTAACTAATTTTAAATATATGCAATTTTTCTCTGAAATATAAATTCGAGATTGGAAAAATTTTGTATACGAGGTCTCTCAAGAGAGTATCTTAAAATGTAAGCTATTGTCGAAATATACATTCACTAGTTTAGAGGGGACAACATAAAGGTTGCACGTGACTCACCAAAGTCAAAACCGGCAACTGACATAGGTAGATAATTTGGCGGTACCCACAATCAAATACTTGGAGATTTGAAAAAAGTCGCACACTGGGGCAACAAGCCATCAAAGTTGGCAATAAATCACAGACTCTCTTTATGAATTTGTAAGGTAAATATTGCTTTGTAGAGGTGTTAGTATTACAAATGAAAATACATAGAGGGCTTATAATGTGTTCGTTTGCTAAAAAAAAAAAATAGAAAGTTATTAAGAATATAATATAATAAAAATGTATATTCTATTCTTAATATCTATTTTTTTTTAGCAAATAAACACTTTATAAGCCCTCTATGTATTTTCTTTTGTAATACTAACATAATATAATAAAAATGTCATGGGCCTAATGAGGCCCAAGTGCCGGGGGGTAATCCACCCTCCACACGTTAAAGATACAGATAATAAAAATGTAATATTATAATAATTTGATTTAGAAAAGCTATGATGATTGTAATCAAATTTCATCCTCTTTAGAATGTGATAAGACATTTTCTTTATCGTCTCCACGGTCATCATCAGTGTCATGAATATACCATGGCTATGAAGCTGGACGAGTCCAGATTTAAAGAAATCTACTGCTTCTTTAGAAAAGTGCTGCAGACTCTTTCTTTTTTAATTTTCGTTTGCTCGTGATTACAAGGTCGAAACTAAGTAAAAATGAATTAAAGACGTCCTCATTAGTTTTCTCTGTTATTGGTCTATAGGCAACAAAGCAGAAGATATTATTTCAGGCCAATGTATAAAGTATTTGTGCAATGTCGGAGGCATATTGACCGTGGGTACTTTTCAACAAAATATCTAGCGGTGTTGTGAGCAAATTGTATTAATTTCGTTCTGTCCAGAACTTCTCATGATATTAAGAAGTTTCTTTCTCGATAAAAACATAGTGGTCGGAAAGTATATTTACATACCTACCAAATCAGATTCATTGAGTACAAATCGGTCAAAAACTAAAATAGCAGCGTTGCAAAGCATAATAATGTGTTAAAACATAAAAACCAGACAACTTTGATTGTCTATATCTTACGATTGAATGGACCAATCGTGCTCGGAGAGGTCTTAAAATAAAGAAAATAGGTTAGGTATTTAACTTTTGTTATTAGATTTTATATTTAATTTATAATTATTACGCAAAACGAGCTTAAAATGGGTTACTTTTAGGCTCGTTTTTTGTCTTTAATTAGGTCGGCCATCTTAAATTTTACATTTCTAGCATTTTGTTATGTCTATCTGGGAGCATATTTATTTGCCTATAAAATGAACCTAAGGACAATAAAATCGATTTATTAATAAACGAAATATATTAAAAAAAACAGAATTCGTTTTTGATGATCGTCTCGCCATATATTTATATACTTTGAAAAAACCCAAATAGTGAAAAAAGTGCAAATAAGTACACAGAAACTAAACGATTTCGAAAAGTACAAACGATATTCATTATGAAAAGTCGAAATTTAAAGCTTGGACTGCTTTGGAACACAACAAATAGCCTTCATGTATTTAAGAATATTTTAAAATTTTAACGTTTAACTTTCATTTTACTTAACCCCAATATTATAAGATTACGTTTATTTTTCTACAACTTTTTACTTATTAAAATAATAATACATAGCTGAACTTAAAGGCTCCATGGCGGAAATTTGAAAAAAAAATCAAAATACAGTCTAATCATAGTACAAAAACAAGTTAAAAACTACAAAAATAACAATGAATATACAGTATGGTTCAAATGAAAGGAATAAATTCATTATATTGGAAGTAGCTGGTTTTTCGAAAAAATGCTCGGATAGGTCGATTTTGTTTACTCAAAGCCCAATTTTTTAAATAGAATTCAATTTTCCCCCACTTCCCAATTTTGGGCAGTGACGTCATTGACAATTTTTTTAAATGGTAACCTCAATTTTTTTTTCTTGATTTTGATAGATCTTGCAATTTCCTACTCGGAAACATAATATTTGAAATATCTTACATAACAATTTTTTTTGAATAGAAGACATTTAAAGATCAGACACATAAATTTTATTTTATTTTGAGAACACAATAAATGAATAAAAGATAATTATTTGTAATTAAATGCTTAATCTAACAAAATAATAATAAAAATAATAATAATAATAATAAAAAGAATTTGTGAAATTGTCATTAAATTCATTTTATTATTATTATTATTATTATTATTTTTATTATTATTTTTTAGATTAAGCACTTAATTACAAATAATTATCTTTTATTAATTAATTGTGTTTCAAAATATCATAAAATTTATGTATCTGATCTTTAAATGACTTTTTTTCAAAAAAAATTGTTATGTCAGATATTTCAAATATTATGTTTCCGAGTAGGAAATTGCAAGATCTATCAAAATCAAGAAAAAAAAATTGGGGTTGCTATTTAAAAAAATTGTCAATGACGTCACTGCCCAAAAATGGGAAGTGGGGGAAAATTGAATTTTATTTAAAAAATTGCGCTTTAAGTAAACAAAATTGACCTGTCTGAGCATTTTTTCGAAAAACCAGCTACTTCCATTATAATGAATTTATTCCATACATTAGCGACATACTGTATGAATGATGTATCTTCTATATATTTATTTGTCGTCTAAATGCAGAAATTTACACATAAAGTGGTATCTTCTGCAAGCTAAAAATCAGTTAAATAAAAAGAAAAATATTATTTTCCTACCTGTGCTCTGAATTTCTTCATTTCTTTTTTAATTTATCATATTTCTGAGACGATTTGCGTTTTCGATAGTTTTTTCCCATGTTTTTATAATCGCTGGAATGTAGTCCGGTCTGAACGATGTGAATCACGCGACACAAAAATTGGTAATGAGTAATTTGAGTAGGCAGCGATATAGAATAAATTTTAAATCTGAACATGTGGGTCAGCCGCGTAACATAGGCATACTACATGGTTATCTTTTATTTCCACTAACAAGGATGTGAAGCATAATTATAGTTTCTACACTCTTGTTGTGAATAAATTATTATTTATTATTATTAAATTCATAATTTACAAACTTTAGACGAATTTATTATTGATTTTTTTTATTATTATTTCCAGGACGCTGCATCACATCGAAGATTATAGTGGATTTACCGCTTTGTCTTTTGTAATTCGAGGATTTGCTGCTTTAGGATCTAGTGCCTATTCGACGGCTGCTTATGTGATAGTAATTAATATATTTCCCGATAATGCTGGAGCAATCAGGGTAAGAAATCATTATTATTTTTTTTTTATTTAATGCCCCCATAGAAACTGTTTATATGTATTTATTTATTCATTTGGGACACAATGTTCACGAAAAACACACGAAATATAATGAATTATATATAGATAATAGTTTTTACAGATGTTTAGCGTTCCCAAAAAAGTTACTTATCAAACAAATCTCACAAATAATTATTAAATAATAATTCCTATGTGTATAAAATGGCTTAAATCTTTAAAAATTATGCAAATCGGTAGTATAGATAAATTAGTAGATAATCTATTAACATTTCTTTAATTGTTTTCGTTAATATATCTGTATTTACATCATTAACGTTTAAACGAATTAGGAAATTTTCAAAAAATCGGTCTCAGCATTTAAATTTACGTCTATTCGAAGAATTTTCGGAAATCGTGCAAATGAGTTTACAAAATCTGTTTTTAATATATTATTATGTTTAATCAATTACGTTTATATTTACAGGGTGTCCTAGAAACGTTCGTAGGATTGGGACTTTGTGCCGGTCCTGGAATCGGAGGAATTCTCTTTGATGTGAGTTGATAACATAATATAAATATAAATAAATATACGAAGGCCATGCTGATTTTTTTTATCTAAATAAAATCAGTTTGTACCAACCTTATTTGGTATTCAAATTCTTTAAAAACGAAAATTAGCAAATATTATAAAACAAACTTTTTTATGCCACTTTTCATTTGAGTAAATTTGGAAAATGTTTTTTAATGTATTAACCGAAAAGATCTTGTATACAGGGTATTTAAAAGTCTTTATTTTTAATATTTTATGGCACATTTGCAGATGATACCATTATATTAGGGTCCAGCAATTCTCCTGCAAATGTACAAAACTTTCTTTTCTATATAGAAGAATTTACTCTATTCTAAGATAATAACACGTAAATCCCACCAACATCTTGCGTTTACCTATTATCTGGGACTCCGTCTTGATTCTAAAGAAAACAGACACATCTTAAAAAGAAAAAACTATACTGGTTGCTTTCAAGAAAGTGAAGAATGTCTTTAGAAAGTAAGATACTGATGCATGAAGCAGTAATTATTTCAATCCTGTCTAAATCCGAACAATACAGTGCTTTTCAGATAAAAGTATCCACCTTAAGTAACTTTTGAAGGACTGATTATTACAAAAAACAAAAAAATACGTCAATTAATATTCGAAGGGGGAGATATCGTGCCATATTTAAGTTTGCTAAAAAAGTCACCCTTTCACCCATACTATCATCCCTTCAATTTTTTTAAATGGCTTGCCCCATTTTTTTATCCATTTTTGGATTGCTCTCGTTTAACTGATTTCAAAAATGTATAAAACATGGGGATTAAAGTAATTAGTTTACGATCTACAGAATTTTAAATTAAAATAAAATTGAATTGTGCAAAACTTTTATTTTAATGATTTAATCACAAGCGTTTCCAATGACAAAACGAATATTTCATTTTCAAAATTTATTATAAAAAATGTTCAAAATGTCCACCATTTACTTCCATACAATGGTATAACCTAGATTGAAAAGCCTCCCTGACATTACCGAACACGTATGCATTTAAATGTAGGCATTCATACTCTATTCTTTGTCGTAAATCTTCTAAAGATTCTGGTTGGGTAGCATAAATTTTTGTTTTTAAATAACCCCATAAAAAGAAGTCTAGAGGTGATAAATCCGGTGATCTAGGTGGCCACTCCATCATCGAGCCTCTTCTACCTATCCAACGATTGGGGAAAGTTTCATTTAAAAATTGTCGTACGGGCAAAGCAAAATGTGGAGGCGCTCCATCCTGTTGAAAGACAAGCAAATCTTCAGAAAGATTATGATCATTTTCTATTATTGTTGTAATACGTGGATCAATTACTTCTCTCAATAACTCAAGATATGACTCTCCATTTAAGTTTCCGTCTAAAAAGAAAGTTCCGACTATGTGGTCACCTAGGATACCACACCATACATTTAACTATTGAGGATTCTGTGTGTGGTATTCACGCACAACATGTGGATCACTCTCAGCCCAATATCTGCAATTATGTCTATTAACTAAATCATTAACTGAAAATGTGCATTCATCCGAAAAACAAAGGTTGTGCAACAAATGTGGATTGTCAGTCAAGCGCTGACTCAATAGTTCACAAAATTCAAGACGACGATCAAAATCATCTTCATACAACTCTTGAACCAATTTAATTTTGTATGGATGGTACTTATGCTTGTGTAATATTCGATAAACTGTGGAAGATGAAACACCTACTTCTCTGCTTATTGTTGTCAGTGACTGTGCTTGTTGATTTTCAAGACTTACTTGTCCTAAAACTGCGACTTCAATTGCTTCGTTATTTACGAGTTCCAGTCGGTTATGTTTTTTATTGCCAACGTTGAAAATTCTAGCAGCAGCTCGTGCAGAACTGTTATTTTTGTAGTATAAACCTACAAGTTCAATTCTTTTTTGTAAACTGTAAACCATTTTTAAATCAAATAAATAACCTCAACAAATCAATGTGCACATGTATCAAAATACACTATAAAAGTAATTTAAATTCATTTTTCAAATCTCCAATACCTTTACCATGTATCATAAAAAACCTCAACAAGTTTTTAGCGGTACGATTAAGGTATAATGTATTCTAAATCCAATTTTGCTGCAGTCAGTAAGGTGAGATGTAAAAATTTGTCACTCAAATAATGGAACCCTGTAGATCATAAACTAATTATTTTAAACCCCATGTTTTATACATTTTTGAAATCGGTTAAACGAGAACAATCCAAAAATGGATAAAAAAAATGGGGGAAGCCATTTAAAAAAATTGAAGGGATGATAGTAGGGGTGAAAGGGTGACTTTTTCAGCAAACTTAAATATGGCACGATATCTCCCCCTTCCAATATTATTTGACGTATTTTTTTGATTTTTGTAATATTTAGTCCTTCAAAAGTTACTTAAGGTGGATACTTTTATCTGAAAAGCACTGTATATCCAGCAGACATTGTATCAGTTATGTACTCGTATATAGCCTCTCCCCAAAGGAGTTTGTCCAGTACAAAAGAAAAACAGTTTTTCAGGAAATCTGATATTGGTAGCAAATCAAAAATTCAATTCCAACAAAGTTCTCATGGCATTTTCTATAAATATAAGCCAAGCTTTAAGAAAGTGTTTTCTTTCAATACAAGTAGCTTCTAGTTTTAAATTCTGATGAAACAATGTATAGAAAAGTTTGATTTATAAATATTTGTATTAATAGTCCATTTCCCATGATTGTAAAACAAGCTACAAGTCTGTTCGTTATACTTACGCGGGTTTCGGATTAAAAATTTTATGAGTATTTCTAGGTAAGTACCCGAAAGTTTGACCTGTTCTTTGGGGAAATATCAACTGGTTAAATGAAATGAAAAAGCATGTACAACTTTTTAATTAAATAATAATGGAGAATATTTTGTATAATTGAGAGCAGAATTAAACTTCTTCATTAATGGAGTCTAATGTGACTATTATAAACCTAATAATAATTTTATATTACACTTCACACAGAAAATATGGTCTATGTATAATAAGAGGGTTATTTAGCTCAAATAAAATATTTTATAGCATAAAAATTTGTTCCATGTAGAGAATTTCAAATGAAAAATAAAAAAATTGAACTTGCCAACAAAAATGAAAATCAGTCATTATCATCCAAAATATCATAATCGTCATCATCATCACTGTCATCACCATTAATTATTATTAGGATTGGACTTATTTCGTTTATTTTATTTTCACGAGTCCACCAATCTTCTATTAGTTTCTCGCACTTGGATACAGTTCCGCCACACTTCTGGAGTTGCAATTGAAAGTGCTTTTCGCCAAGTTTCTCGAACTGCGTCGTCACTATAACCATTAGGCCCAATATGGTTGTCATAATATTGTTTTGCTATTCCCCATATATATTCGATGGGATTAGACTGGCAATGATACGGTGGCAGACGTAATACTTGATGACTAGAACTTTCAATAATCTGATCCACAACAAAGGTTTTTGGTTTTGCGTGTATATTTGCCAAACGTAATAATTCTGATTTTAATATATATTGAGGAAATGGTGTATGTTCCTTTGTCAACCATTCTTTAATTTACAGTCCAAGAATTCGTTGGACTTTTGTTTAAAACTTCAGAATGGTAAGGTGCATTGTCTAAAATAATTACGCTGGGCTCACTTAAACCTGGGAGAAGTTTTTCATGCAACCATTTTACAAACATTTCTATGTTCATATTATCGTGATAGTCACTGGATTTTGATTTAGATGAAAATATTAAATCAGCACCTTCTATAAAACCCGATTTCCCTCCTACATGTAAAATTATGTGTCGCTTTCCTTCTCCATCGGTATGTTTGATGGACTTTACGTTATCATCTTGCCATATCCTCTTGGTTGCACCTCTAGAAAATATCAATGTTTCGTCTAAATATATAAAATTCGCCCCTTCTTCTTTAAATTTAGAATATTTTCTTAACAAGTGAATTCTCTTGTGCACGACAGAACTTCTTTCAGAAAGGACCTTTCTGTTATCCTCCTCTTGAAATTTGAAACCTAAGTTATGTATCACTTGCCATAGACTTGTTCTGCCAATTTCGTCAAATTTTCTATCTATTAATTCCGAGAGAATTGTATTTAAGGTCACATGTTCCTTGTTGGCTCTCATTCGATAAATGGTATCACGAATTTCAAATTTCTTTCCATCTGGAATATCTTTCGTTTTCAATGATGGGCGAGTTTTGTGGTGATCTTCTTTCGGCAGTTCACTATTGTGATTTTGTAATACTCCTCTTAATTTGGTTTCACTAATTCCTAGAGCATCGCATACGCGTTGTTGTACAGACATTACCGATTTTAAAGGACCGCCATTTTCTTCTTCATCCGTAAAATACTTATGTACACTACAAATTAGACTATCTACATCTAACACACGTCTAGGCATTTTTAAAATTTCCACTGAATTTACAATATACATACAATGTCAACATTTGCAAAGAATCAATTCAACTGCAATATTTGTAACAAATTTAGTACCTACCCTAATGTTATTTTAATTTAAATCTGACCATTAGGACAATTTTACCTAATTTCTTGGGAAGAGACTTATTGGAGCCGGTTGTCAATGACTAATTTGCATAATTTTGTTAATCCGAAACCCGCGTAAGCATAGCGAACAGACTGTAATTTCGTTGCTGGCCAGGATATTACCAGTGGCGTAGCGTATATGGGGCCAGAACATTTAGAGCACCTTTGGGCGCCCACTACAGAGGTTTGGGCGCCCCAAAAAAGCTTCACCCGTTGTCGCACGATACGCCACTGGATATTACTATTAATATTATCCAACCAAATTGTAATTATTCAAATATAGTGTTATTGGTGCATTTTTTCTAGGAAGATCGGGGGCTTTGGTCTGCCATTCTACGTAGTTGGAATATTTTTAATATTAATAGCTCCTCTAAATATCTTCATTCTTGAAAAATCAGCAAGTAAGTAGACAATTCATTCATTTTGATTTTACATTCATTCAAATAGGTGCGAAAATGTTGTTATGTCGCCTCCGGTAAATGTTAAAAATTAATTTAACAATCATTTCAATAATATTATTTAGAATTAATGAGGTCATACTGCAAAATAATGAGGTTCAAAAAAAAATAATTCCGAATTCCATAAATAACACCCATAAGTGGATAATGTTGCTACGACACAAAAAATTGCCCGCAATATCATCGTAAATTAAAAAAAAAACAGTTTACGCCTATTAAAAAATTTAAAAAATACGTTAAATAATACTCTACATTCAACTAAAAATGGCATTTTAACTAGCAGACTGTTATTTAAAATTAAAAAAAAAAAGGTGAAGAACACTTTGACCTGTCAATTTTTATTTTTACTTTTGTTATACCATTTACGGTACTTTATTCTGAAACCCTGTATATTTATAATATATAACAATCTACATTCTCTTTTATCTCCTTCTTTTAATAAATAGATGGGTCGTAAGACAATTCATTGAAGAAGTAAATTAATGTATAATCCAACAATATAACTGCATGGGCGAAGTTATGTCATCAGATCTGGGGGGGCTAAAGCCCTAGCCCTAGTCATATAATATATAATAGTTCTAGAGGTATACCTACTGAAGTAAAAAAATTCTGGCGAATCTATGAAAATGGATAAAATATCATATATCGATTATAAACAAAGTTTTGCAAAATTTCAATATTGTGAATTTGTAGATATCCATTTATGGTAAAAAACTAAATTTTACGACTTGCACTTGGAAAATAATGAATACTTCAGTTTTGATTTTGACATTAACACCATATAGATTGCAATTTGCTGGGGACTTTTTCGCAGATTTCATTTTTAACACAAACACTATCACATACTATAAGAAATAAACAAATTTAAAGCTAAAAAGTAAGAAAAACTCGAATTGTAATTGATACAAATTAAAATGTAAACAATGAACTCGTTGCCAAATGATGAACTGATTTTAAAACAAAATTAATAAATGAACTGAAATTAAAAAAAAATTAATATAATAAATCGGTTTTATAAAAAGTCCTTAAATAAATATAGAGTATGATTACATATTACTATACACAAATTTTGATTCTTAAATAAAAGGTCTTATCCACTTCTTCAAGAGCTAAAATCCGACGACGTAGCGAAATTTTGCTACTTCTGGCAACACTGAACGATATCCTACTTATAGGGACCTTCTACAAATTTCCTCCAGAGGGCGTATCACTTAGCTTGAATCGCGAATAAAGATCCTTCCAATTATATCTTCTCAAGGAAGTGTAGGATTTGGAGTGGCTTCAAGTTAGGTAAATCTCCCTCTTCTATTTGATATGCTCCTAGGTATAGTGCCCTTGGATTCTGAAGTGCTACATATTTAGTTGAATGTGAATGAAGATTTTTTCCTCCTCCTCACAAAATCTTCTACTACTCTCAGTTTACTAAGGTGTCATTTTAGTTGGCAATGTCCAGTAAGGATCCCTGTTACAAGTGTTCTCACTACTAGAAAAATGTATATTATGATAACAGCTTATAATACAATCTGGCTAATGTGGAACACCCCGAAAGCCTTGCCAGACTCGTCTACTAGAGGTTTAGTGGCGTGTTAATACCATAAGGCATATAGGAAATATTTTTGTATACCCAACAACTTACGGCTCGTCTACTAGAGGTTTAGTGGCGTGTTAATACCATAAGGCATATAGGAAATATTTTTGTATACCCAACAACTTACTTATTCTTTATTTATTAATAGTTATAAATAATATGTATTTGAAATTCTAAGTATTGCAATCGGATTCTAGTAAAAAAACATTCAACCCATAAAAAAATTCTAAAGAACAACACACAGGAACCTTAGTAATCTCGATATGATCATCATAATTTGTTAAAACAAATTATTTACAATAATTTATTTACCAAACAAATGTCAAATTAGGTACATACTATCCAATTATGTAATTTGCTGTCTCCCACATCAACAAATAAACGGACTTCATTAAGTTGAGAAAAAGGAAACACATTGAGACCGGAATAGGTCAATTATAAAAACAGTGAAAGCTGAATTAGATATTTTAAGGCCGATATAAATGTTATTCTAAAAAAATATATTTTTTTTTTACAGAATGCAATTTAGATGGAAATTCGGGTTCTTTGACGAGTCTTCTGAAGTTGACACCGATCATGATGACGTGTTTCGTCATGGTAGTGGTATCCATGACATGGGGATTTTTAGATCCAACGTTAGAACCGCATCTGATCAAGGTAAGCCATATTGTTTAATATTATTTAAAACTCCTGCATTACTGGCATTTCTGACTTATAAATTTAAGAATGATTTTGATGCACTTTAGGGACTGAAAGTAGACTTTAAGTTCCTATTATCAGGGACTAAAATGGCACTTATACTCCATAGGTAGGAACTATTTTTAAAATAAGCAAACGTTACATTGGTGTCAGGTGTGGGGTGCGTAGAACACGGCTAATACTTATATGCGATAAAATTCTTAATCCGTACCGATCATGCAGCTCTTTAAGATCGAATATCAAGTCAGAATAAGCTACATAAATGCCGATTATCTTTCTAGAAGACCGTGCCCAGCAAAGTGCTCTCACTGCAACAAAGCAGAATCTAAAGAACAACTGTAGTCAACGATAGAGAAGAACAAGAGAACGATCCCGTTTTAAACATAATGTAGTAATGGAAAGAGGAAAACCGCCAACCTACTTGGTAACTCTTTGCAGTGGTCAAGCCACATTGGGCTCAGTGGCACTCTTTTATTTTGGAAGAAGTTTTGTAAAGTGAATATTCGAATATAATTATTTTTCTGAAATCAGAAAACAGTTGGTCATTCCAAAGACTAGAATAGCCAAAGTAATTTGTCAGTTACACGACGGTTCATCAGGAAGACATCTCGGTGTTAAGAAAAACCTTCAAAGAGTTCGTGAAAGGTTTTATTCGATGAAAAGTTCCGATGAAGTGAAGGACTGGTGTAAGAAATGTACCAGCTGTGCTATGAGTAATGGACCTCAGCGAAAAAGGAAGGCTCCCATGAAGCAATACAACGTTGGTAGCCCATTTGAGAGGATCGCCTTAGATATTGCTGGACCATTCCCCATGACCGAGAATGGTAATAAATACATGATGGTGGTTATGGATTATTTCACAAAGTGGGTGGAAGTCTACGCCATTCCAAATCAAGAGACCGTAACTGTTGCACACGTGTTGATAAAAGAGTTTATTAGTCGATTTAGAGTGCCCTTGAAGATCCAAGTGACCAAGACAGAAATTTTGAAAGTCATCTTTTCCGAGGAATCTGTGAGGATGAAACCAGCCCAAAAATGATGTTCGTTTTGATAAATAAAACCAAAGTTAGAGTGTAGAAAATAATATTCTTTCTGCTTCTTTTACTTTTGATATAATTCAATGCATGTTGCGGTATTAGCCAAAGAAGTAGTTGTTTTCAGACGAGAAATGATCGTTTGACATTTCTGTGACACATTCATTTTTTTTCTTGTTATTTTTAAGTTGGTCACATTTGAGTATTTAAATTTATTTAATTTTTTCTTATAACTATATTCTAGCGTGAAACCAGCATTTTTGCTTAGTGTTCAATAAAAACTAAAACTTAAACAAGATCAGTGAATCTAATAACTTGGTGTGAAGTGGTTTTGGGATTAGTCATACGTGATTTTTTCTGAGCATACTTTAGAAATATGTTTAGTGGTGCAGTGACACGCTGCTTTAAATCCTAGACCAAACCATGTGAATTTTTTAATTAATTTGCATGATTCGTTGTAGGATTTAATGGGCGCCGTATTAGTAGTAATTTAATTTCTATTAATATGGCATTTAGATTACAGATCTCAGTGCGTTACAGTATCAATGATGGCAAGTGGGGCTTTCCTCACCTGTAAATCAAACATTAATCATTTATAAGTGCTATGGCAAATAATAATATTCGTCCATTCTCGTTTGCAATAATTGTAGAAAATGTCGCTAGTGATGTATTTGTATCTTCAACTTTTATATCCAATACGCTAGTTCAGTGATGATGTAATTATGGTTCCACTGACAATTAAAGTGACAGTAGATTTTTTGAGTGCGTTTTATTCGGTTTGTTTACCTAAATTATATCATGTTTTCACTTTTATAAAGATATTCCTAAAGTAAGTAGATAACATGCATCAAATATACAATCGTTTAGTTACCAATTACATACCTTTAAACTATTTTTATGACCTGTAAACAATATTTAGAAATAAACTAAAAACAGTAAAAACGTATATGTCAAATTTATTGATGTTTTTATTAAAAGTTTGGTTAGAATTAAATGTCAGTGGAACCAAAATGACATCACACCGAACTAGCGTATTAGAATATTGCAGAAAATGTTTCCAAAACTAACTCTCCTAAAATTTTTAATTTAAAACTGTTCCAAATAATTTTTTATAGCAGGGACAAAAGTTGGAAAGCATTTTGCCAGTTCTCCTTTTTCATACGCAGGATTTGACGGTATTGCCCGCGAAGCTAACCAAAGCGAACAACATTGGCGTAGAAAATTATTTTATAAATGCTAATAAAATTTCTCACGTAAATAGTTCAATAAATTGTGAATAGCTGTTGAGATTTTATAGAATTATGATTTGGGATATTATTACTTGTTTAAATGATTATTTGTAGCCCATAAATAGATACGTTTGCCCGATTCTGTCGGTAATAATTTAAAATGTTTGATGATTTTTATTCTATGATACGGCAATGACAAACAAACATTACCGCTAAATTCTCGAAGTCCTCCCTATCTACCAAAAGCCTTTCCAAATTCTGTCTGCTCTGTGTCAAAAATTAGATTAATTATAAGTAATTTTTCTCAGTAATTATCATTAGTTAGCAGTATTAATTAAATAAACTTGAACATAATATATGTAAGTGGTTATTATAATAAATAAAAATTTAATTACAGTTTTATTATTTACAAAATTATTCCACATTCCACAATATTACTATTGTCAAAATAACAGTTTAAATCGTCAGTATTTCATCAACGGATAGTGGATCGAAAAATAAAGAGGATTCGTCATTTTAGTACATTTTTTTAATTCCTCAACAATATATTTATATCTATATAAAACTTTGTTAAAATGTTAAAAATAGTAATTATTTTTCAGTTTAACTTGACAACCACCGCAGTTGGACTGATCTTTTTACTGACCTCTGGAACATACGCCATATCGTGTCCATTTTGGGGTTGGTTATCAGATAGATTGGATGTATATTGGTGGATGATGACCGTTGGATTGTTTGGAAATTCTGTGATATTATTATTTTTAGGTCCTTGTCTAAGTTTCTTGCCAGAGTAAGTACCTATTAATATAACCCTCGAAATATTATTTGAACTATTTCGCTGCCCAATTGTTTTTTGCATATTCGACTCTTGTAGCATAGGAATGAAAAATTATATTAGAGATTTGTGTTTAAATAAAAAAAAATAGTCTAAAGGACAAATTTAACGAATATCCAATACAATTATAATTTAGTATTATTTACTTTTGTGCAAACATTCTCTAATGAAAAGTGTTTTACGGCTAAGCAGCCATTTAAAAATTAAAATATTAGTTTTTCAGAAATAACTCAAAACCTATTTAACGTTTAATCATTTTGAAAACGAATTCGGGATCAACATCAAATTATCTATATTAAACCCCCTCTTCCCCTAGGATAATGTTACTTAAACGCCAATGTTGTCTTCCTAATGGTTTTCTATAATCAGACTCACTAAATCGATTTTTTTATTTTTTTTCAGTGTCTTATGGTTAAATATGGTGAGTTTGTCACTATTAGGAATAACAGTGGGTATGTCGTTAATGCCTACATACCAGTTCATCTTGGACAGTGCGTTGTAAGTATTACCTTTCAACCAGAGGCGGGTCGTTACCAAAATATTGGCAGTTTACAATGATATAAGTCTCAGTATAGTTATAGGAAAATATCTTTCAGTGCTTGGGAAAGGTATATTATTCCTTACAATAAACAATGAAAGTTTTTTACCTACAACTCTACTGAGATCTATATTCTGTCATTGTAAACCCCCAATATTTTGGTCACCAGCCGCAACTACTATACAATATCAATTAATAATATCCAAAAAATGTGCCATCTCCGAACAATAGTGAAATTGAAGTCGGTCAACCACTGGCAAGTTTAAACTATGGAAATTGGCATCAAGATATGAAATGAAAAATATACAGGGCATGACGTACTGTACAAACTTAAATAGCATATTACTGAGTTCATTTTAAGCATCTCATAAACAAAAGCAAAAAACTAGCTTGTTTGTTTTGGTTCATGTTCTAGAATTGTTCCAGAACCATGCGCAGAACTATTGCGCAATGGTCCTTAATTTTGAACATTCTCTAACCATTCCTTGCATTTGAAACCAAAACACTGCCCCAGAACAGTTAAATGTCAAAAAGTAAATTATAAATAAAAAAGAAGAAATAACACAGGGTTAGTGTCTAGGTAAGGAAGAGGCCACATAATATTCTAAAACGTAGATAAATTAAATAATTTATTCGTAAAAAATCTTATAACCCAACATCAACTAATCTACTGCTCCATTATCATTAGTCATTCGAAAATTCCTTGCAAAAATTCCAACACAAAACATGGCCAGGATCTCAAAAACAAAACTACTTGCAAAAAAGCGCAAGCGCAAACATCAATTCTGAAACAGTTCTCGCTTTAGGCCAGAACCGACGTTACTGTTCGAGAATGGTTATGGAACCATTCCCAAGAAAAACCAAAACATACACTCACACAAATGTATAAGGTCCGAGTCGAATAAGTTCCCATCCTGTAAACTGAATCGAAACCTACTAGACCCATTCCGTATATCCCCCTGCTAACTCCTCTTAAGGTCATCAAGATCAATACATTTATATGCCTTGCCTTCTAAAAGGACATGAAGGATGACGTACTAACATTATTTAATCAGGACGTTGCTGAAGGCTTACTCCTGTTATGTCGTCTGTTTGTGTATCTTGTGCGTGTGCATTTCTGCTGTGTCCCCAGTCATGTAAAAGTTTCCCTAGTCTCCTAATTTGGTGACTAGGTGGACCTTCTACAACTAGTCGTCTAATTTATTCGATCTGCTCTGCAGCAGGAGGTACTTTTCAAACATAGCAAATAATATTATTAATAAACACTAGGTATATTTAAAGATGAATACATTTTTGTAATTTTTTGTCTTTGTCCCTTACCAGAGTATACCTATTTTCCATACTCCCTTAATTATAGATTACCTTAGGATGTTTGAATGAATATAACATTTTACCCATGAAAAATCTAATTTCGAATTTAATTATTTTTCAATTTCATTTGAAACAATTGGTATATTACAATTTATTATCAAGGAAATCTTCTATTAAAGTTATAGCAGATCCTACTTAAACTACTGGTTGTTCTTCAGGATAAATTAACTTTTTTTGAGATTGATCTCTGTCTAAAATCCAAAACCGACCTGATGTCCCCAAATTTATTTTACAATGCATCCTGATTTAAAATTCTGCCCTTTTGTGATTCAATGTTTTTTCTTCGTTTAAAAGACTGTACAATCTTCTAATAGCCACTAGAGTGGCTTTTGGAGGTAGGTGTATGTAAGAAATAGCCAATCTCTAATCATTTCAAAAGTCCTTTGCCAATACTACATGTGCAGAGATTTTTTACTCAGCACACATTTTACTTTTTTTCTAGTAGGTGGGAACTTTGTGCTGCCATTAAAGCTGTCAAGACTTTCATCTACCTACTTAATGAACAAAAGTAGCTGTAACAATGGATCTCTGTTCCAATTAACTTAAAATAATTATAGCCATTTTGTAATATATTATTAAACACACACATTATACAGTGGTTTTCTTAATAAATTGGAAATTACTTACCTCTAGAAAGGAACGTGTACAAAAACGCGAGTTTGGTTCCAGAAATTGCTTCATGCAAAAATAATATGCGAAAATAAAAATCCCCCAAAGAAAATTAATTAAACAACAAAATCAGACTCAAAGAAATAAACGGGGCCCAAATTAAATTAATTTTAATAAAATACACACGTTCATAACAACATTCATAACATTGTCAGTTGTCAGTTCTAATCTATACGTCGACGTCAAAAAACCAGCAACATTAGCGACCTCTAGGATTGGTGTTAGTTTTATTGGAGAGAGATAAATATATGTAAAAATCAATGTAAAAGATAAAGAAAGTCATATATCTAATTTAAATAGACCACCGAACAAATTTTCCTATTAAAGGCATTTCTTTATAAGCTTACCATAACTTAGAACATACTTATGTAACCAAAGCAATTCTTTAAACGGTTTGGTTACTTCCATGACGTCATACGTTACCAAAATACGTAACTACTACTAACCATGATGTTTTTAGTGGTAAGGTGTGTGGTAAGGTCAGTAAGGTCCACATTTGAACATATCGAGCATGCGCAAAGTATTGTAAAGAGATTAAATTAGATACATTTTTCTGTGGTTACGGGTTATATGGTTCATTTTGTATATTTGGATTGGGCATTTTTGTGTTAACCAAAGAAAACTCTATTTACTATGAAAGAAATTACATTTGAAATACAGGGCACTGAAATAACTCTTCACGAGAGCGATGTTGATGACCACTGGATACTGTTATTTATATTGAAATATAAAGATGAAAATATGAGATTATTGGCACAAGTATTTATCATTGTTATTTCATCACAAATAACACTTATTAATTTTTTTCTTCCTTTTGTTGGAGGAGATATATTTAAATAAATAACAAAAGAACGAACACAAGAACGAAAACCAAATGACGTCTGTGACAAAAACACTTTTATTTATCTGAACAAAAACAAATCCCCAATTTGACATGTGACAACGACAAGTGCTACGAGTTACACGGTATGTCTGACGTCATCAGAGTAACCACAACGCTGTTACGAAGTATGTCGTGGTAAGCTTATAAAGAAATGCCTTAAGTTACACGTCTCTGTTATCCAGGGTTACCAGGTTTTTGAAAGAGATGACGGACAGACAGGGGATTTTAGGGGAAATAGGGGGAAGTAAAAACAACTCTGTCTATTTTCATTTTTTTAATCAAAATTATTTATTTTGCAAGAAATCCTTAACTAATTTTGGTAAAGATACACTGAGGTGTTTTTACAAATAATAAGGTGAAAATGTAAAGTTAGAAAATTGAGAAATCGCAAATCGACATGCAAAGTCAGAAACATGTTCACCTTATTATTTGTAAAAACACCTCAGTCTATCTTTACCAAAAATTAGGTACGGACTTTTTACAAAATAAGTAATTTTGATTAAAAAAATTAAAATAGACAGAGTTGTTTTTACTTCCCCCTATTTCCCCTAAAATATGTCCGTCATTTCTTTCAAAAACCTGATAACCCTGCTGTTGTCTCTGATACAAAGCAGGAACATTTAATAAATTTAAGCTATTACTAGGAGTTCTTAGACAATAAATTAACCAGTTTCATTCTATTTTCAGAGAAAATGGATACACTGACGACATATCCACGCACTCGGTCATAGCAGGTCTATGGTCGTCCGTCTACTCCCTAGGAGAAGTCCTCGGACCAGTCTTAGGGGGGTCCCTCATGCAGCATTACGATTTCTCGAACACGTGCGCTACATTCGCGGCTCTCAACTTCATCGTCGGTACTCTAGCGACAATAATGTTAGTGAATAGAAAACAAATGTCCTTGAAAGGAAATCTATTGAACGTTTTTCAAAATGTGATAAAGCCGGACATCTACCCTTGCAACGGTAGCGTCGATATCGTTATCGAAAAAGATCATAAAGTTATTGAAACGATAAAAACGAAGTGAAGTGCGCGATAAATTGTTTTAAATGAATTTTTATGTTGTTCGTTGGTCACTTCTTCGCTTGCATGTAAAATTGCAGCCATTCGTAATTCACGTGTGCGTACTAACGTCTTCTCGATCAGCTGTTGTAATTCATAATTACAGAAAATAGTGACGGACTGAAAATGTATTGTTGCAAGTCGTATTGCAAATGCAATTCTGAAGAAAAATCAGTTTTAAACTACCTAGAGTATACATTTCTGTCATTTAACATGTTTTGTGTTACTTTACGTAAACTAACTCAATGAAATATAAAATAATAGAAAAATTATCAATAAATATGTTTTATTTATTTACTAAATGAGTTTTTTCCCTATTTTCCTTAAATAAATTGATGTAACTGTTTAGTAGCTCAAATTGGCGAACTTGTGTGTAATATAGATAGTAATTTGTCTTGCAAATACACAAACGGGTACCACATATACAGTATGTCCCCCTAAGTTAGAATCATATGGAAAACTTTTTTATTAATAATTTTAGGAAAAAAAGTTATTTTTCATAAAAAGTTCTGCATTATCTAAAACCTAGAATACAGTCATCAAATATCAAATTTTTTCAGTGGTATACGAGGTTTGTCAAAAAATATGAGTTTTACTCACGAGTAAAGTACCTTTATTCTTTATACGACTGATACAATTTGATATTTGATAGTTATATCACAGCTTATACAATACAGCTAAAACACTCTCTTGGCGGCAACGGTTTGCGTCGATTTCGTCGCGCATCGCTTAAGCTCCGCCTTCGAAGGGAAAAGACGGTTTTGGCGTTCAGAAGCGTACTTAGGCAAGGTGTTGAGTCGTGCGTATAATTTCGTTGATTGTATAATTTCGTGGAGCCTATAATTTCGTTGATTTTGTTTGAGTTAAAGGTACTGTTATTATTTTGGTGACTCTTTAGCTGTGAGTAGAATGAGTTTGTGCAGTCAAAAGCTGTTTTAATAAGGGTTATACCTGCAAGAAAACATTCTTTAGTTTTCCCAAGGACCCAAACCGATAAGTACTACATTATAAGAAATTTTCATTGTTAAAAATATAATTTATACAGGGTGTCTCATTAGTGCGTTATTGTTCATTATTTTGTTGTAGACACGCAAGAAAGTTTTAAATAAAAGTTATATGGATTTGAAAAATACCTACATATTTTAAAAATATCTTTGGATATACAGGGTGTCACGTTTTTGCCTGGAAAATTAAAATGTATGTTTTTTAAATGGAACACCTATTTTATTTTATGATGAAATTATTAACACCCTAAATTATTGTAAAGATGAATTGCTACAGAAAAATTTTATCAGGTATGTGTGTGGTTACCTTTTAACAAAAGCCTTGCGGATCCACTCCTGCGATACCTGTCTTAAATATAACAAAGATCACGTTGAATTAGACGATTTTTCTTTTTATTGCTTTTAAAAGGCATATGATAACGCCAATTCAGATACATTTGGAAATCTGCAACTGTCAAATGATGAATTTGTAGAACTAATATTCAATATTGAAAAGATATTTTAAAATAATTTTGAAGAATTGGCTACAAAAAATAACATTTGTACCACACTTTTAGAATTAATTAACCCAATACCCTTTAGTCATCCATGCTAACGTTTTCCAAAAGAATAACTTATTTTATTGTATGTTTAATCTCAATAACTAAAAAATATACTGACAATTAGTTTGACAGAATTGTCATTTATTTAAAATTTTAAAAATAATAGCAGTCGGTTGATCAAAATATGAACGGTGATTGGCGAATTTATTTTTTTTTTGCAGTGTTCTCACTACCTAGAATGGATATGAAATATATTCGTTCAATTGAAGGCAATAGCATACTTTTTCGTTTTGTAATCTGTGCATGGATATTAGCCAATCTACGCACATACTACAAAACGAAAAATTATGTTATTGCGTTCAACTACGAATATATTTCATATCCATTTTAGGTAGTGAGAACACTTTAACAAAATTAAATCTACAAATCACAGTTCATATTTTGGTCACCCAACTCCTATTATTTAAAAATTTTTAAATAAGTGATAATTCTGTTAAACTAATTGTCAATATATATTTTAGTTATTGATATTAAATATACATTAAAATTTTTGTGTAGACTCGATAAATAATAGCATTTTTGTTTTTATTATGTCCACATTTAAAAAAAAATAAATTTTAATCAAACTACATGATACTAATTTAATTACGAGTATTAAAACTAAAGTCCTGAAAGTTTCGGTGAAGATGAGGACAGAACATCTGCCTTCCATGCGAAAAGCCCGGGATCGAATCTAGGCCGAGGATTAATTAATTTTTCATGTTTATTTTATTTTAATCTTTTTTATTATTAATATTGGGAAAAAAGTTATTCTTTATAAAAAGTCGAGCATGGTCTAAAACCTAAAATACAATCATCAGATATCAAATTTTATCAATCGTATAAATAATAAAGGTACTTTACTCTTGAGTAAAACTCATATTTTTTGACAAACCTCGTATACTACTGAAAAAGTTTGATATTTGATGACTGTATTCTAGGTTTTAGAACTTTTTTCTAAAATTAATAATAATAAGCTTATTATTATTTAACCACAAACTTATTTTCCTTAAATCTGATTCTGCAGAAATCTTAGAATCCTCACAGTTTTTACACGTAAAAATTAAAGCAGTGTCATCGGCATAATATATGAGGTCTCCGGTGAAGTTTTTTTATCTTGGTAATATTATTTATGTACACAAGGAAAAGTATTAGGCCCAATACGGTTCCCTGTGGTACTCCCGTTTTTATAATGAACACAGAACTGATAATATTTCCAATTTTAACTCGTTGATTTCTATTGGACCTATAGTTAGACACTAGATCAAGGGCAAGACCTCTAATACCTCGTGAGAGACAGTGTCAAAGGCCTTGGCCAAGTCGAGGATTACCGTTAGCATGTCAGAGACCTATCGAATGCACCGACCGTTTTTTCTAGAAAATCCACAACAGTATTTTCAGTATTAGAGTTTCTTATAAATCCATATTGTCTATCTGTAATAGTGTTATTTGCATGAAAGAAGTCAATTAGTTTATTTTTTAGAGCCATTTCAAAAATTTTTGCAAAATTATTAATAACCGAAATGAGCCTATAATTCGTAAATTTACTGGGGTGACTATTAAGTTCTTCCATTGTTGATGAATTCTTCCATATTGGAAACAAAGATTTATAATATGTTTTAGAGGCAAGACAATGTATTTATGGATGTAAGCTAACTCGGGGTCATGATTTATATTTTATATTTACAAATAAAGTTTACAAAAACGTGTCAGGTTAAAAAATAAGCGTTTACTTTCATAAACATTTTCACTAAAATGATGAATAAACGATTTTAATTTAGAGTTAATATTCAAAATATGCCTTGATAGAACTGAAGGATGATTGTAAAATTCCTTCTATTTTAAACAGCGTTAAAACGGAGTGGAAACGCGGAATCACGGCCGGAAAGGTCGCTGACCTCGGCTCGATACAAGAGGCATTCAAGATGTAATGAGAGACATCGCATCTCGCATCATAGCACTGTCGAATTTCTACAGGGTGTTCCAACGAAAACTTAACCTCCCCGTAACTCAGAAAAGGATGTGTGATCAAAAATTTTAAAGAACAGGTCAATTTTTGTTTCGAGGGGTTCCAATTTTAATATAAAATTCAAACTCGAAACTTCACCCTTTTGCGGTCAGCAGCTACCCCTTCTATTTTTTTCAATGGCATGGGAGGTCAAGTTATACATCATTTGAAAGGCCCTCTATTAACAGCCGAATTATTTTCTTTTGTGAAATACAGACATCATTAAGATATGTGAATATACCCCAGAAATAGAGCTCATACCTTAAATGCGATTCAGCATGTGCATAGTACAACATGATTAGCTGTTTTTCGGTTAGAACTGTTTTTAAAATTCTAAATAAGTAATTTACTGAGTTTAGTTTTGAAGTGACTGTCTCGCAATGTTTGTTCCAGTCAACGTATTCATCAATGTATAAAGCAAGGACTTTTACACATCGAGTATCATCAATTTTTCTGTTATTGATGATAACTTTGAGTGAGCTAATTTGCTTTTGTTTATTATGTAATTATATTAGATGGGTTTTTTCTGCATTTAAATAAAGATAATTCATACAGAACTATTGAAACAGATTAGAACAAACCTGGTTCCATTTATTTTCTAATGTAAGGTAGTTTTTGTCATAGATAAGAGCTGATGTGTCATCTGCATATAATGTAAAATGTGCATTTTGACTAATTTTAACCCAATCATTCACATATACCAAGAATTAAGATTGGTCCTATAATAGACCCTTGTGGCACACCAATATTGTTATAAACATAGTCGGATTTGTAAGTTTTTATTAACTTTTTATTTATGGAAAGACTAACATACTGTCGACGTTCACTTAAAAAAGATTTTATCCATTGAAGAGACTGATTAATAACAACGATAATATTTAGTTTGCTAAATAAAATATTGTAATCGACACAGTCAAATGCTCTGCTGAGATCACAGAAGATCCCAACAGGGCATTGGCCAGCGTCAAGTAAGTTGGTTAAATTTTCGTAAAATGAATGAATTGCTGTATTGGTAGATCGTGATATTAGAAACCCAAGGGACCTGATTGTCTTGCCTCTAAAACATATTATAAATCTTTGTTTCCAATATGGAATAATTCATCAACAATGGAAGAACTTAATAGTCACCCCAGTAAATTTACGAATTATAGGCTCATTTCGGTTATTAATAATTTAGCAAAAATTTTTGAAATGGCTCTAAAAAATAAACTAATTGACTTCTTTCATGCAAATAACACTATTACAGATAGACAATATGGATTTATAAGAAACTCTAATACTGAAAATACTGTTGTGGATTTTCTAGAAAAAAACGGTCGGTGCCTTCGATAGGTCTCTGACATGCTAACGGTAATCCTCGACTTGGCCAAGGCCTTTGACACTGTCTCTCACGAAATTTTATTAAGTTAAATTGTTATGGTATTAGAGGTCTTGCCCTTGATCTAGTGTCTAACTATAGGTCCAATAGAAATCAACGAGTTAAAATTGGCAATATTATCAGTTCTGTGTTCATTGTAAAAACGGGAGTACCACAGGGAACCGTATTGGGCCTAATACTTTTCCTTGTGTACATAAATAATATTACCAAGATAAAAAAAAAGTTGGTTAAATTTTCGTAAAATGAATGAATTGCTGTATTGGTAGATCGTGATATTAGAAACCCAAGAGACCTGATTGATTTTATTTCAAATAAAAAAATATTAGATGACAATATTTTGAAAGGATACGACGCATCACCCGCATCAACGGTAGCTTCGCTACTGCAAAAAAATAAATTATAATTGATCAGGAAAAACGGGGAGGGTTAGAACTAGATCGAAGGTACGATGTAACCAATTCAAAAGTATGAACAAAAAAATGGTAACTATCAAAGGACGAAATGCAATGCAACCAGTCGTTAAATAAGTGGAATTCATGTGAATGTTGGAACAAGATGAGCAAGATCCTAAAAATTCTTATTAAAAAAGTGTGAGCGAGTTTAGCCACGTTTTCTTTTGTTTTTAAATAGAAGTTGGATACAATCTGCCATCATCGAAACGGGCTAAATTTTCGTGTTTTTTAATGCCATTTCAGACCCTCTGAAAAACATTTCAAAATACTTTTTTACGCTTATTTTTTTACCTAAAACTTCATTGTCCAATTTCAATCCTTAAAAAAAAATGTGAATTATACAATTTTTATTGATTTCTTTTTGTAGAAAGTGCAAAATAATAATATATCCACTCATTATTATTAGATAATAAATAAAAATAAAATTTACTATTTAGTTTTATTTGTATAGATGAGTACTTCACCTATTTACTTAATTCTATTTAATTCTATGATACCTATTTCATAATATTTAGTATCATTGTTTATATTTTAAACAATCTCTTGCTGTAGACTAAAAAATTATGATTAGAATAAAATTGTCAACAAAGGAAAATTTATTAATAATTTTAAAATAACATAACATCTGATAATGGTTTTTTTATAGAAAATAAAAACTACAACTAATCATTTATAAAGATAATAAAAATAGAGGTCATACGACAATGAAATCAATTTAAAATTTATTACATTGATCTCTATACAGGGTGTTTTATTGAGAAAGGTAAATTTTTTCATGTAAAAATTAAATATGTATTGATTAACATGAATCATTTAAATTTTCTTAAATACGGATCTGTAATTGTAATTTTTATTGGTTTTTGGGAATGTTACTTCAAATTCAATAAGTTTATCTCAAGAATGTCTATGAAATAAATTAGTTTTATTGAAGAAAAAATAATTAAAACCCCTTCAATTACTATTTTTATGGACTAAAATTCACATAATGTACATTTTAACGTTAAAAATAAAAAGTTGATTAATGTATTCATTTTTTAAGCTCTTTCCAAATTTGATATTCAATTTTTAAAAATTTGATGTATAGGGTGTTGTTTTAGGGTGGGTCAAATTTTTATAATTTTTATTAAGTCGGACCTGGATTTAAAATTTTTTTTAATGTGTCAATAAATTGTCCTATAGGTGTAGATTATCTATGCCAAATATCAAAAAAATATACTGAGTGATTCAAAAGTTATGGAGCACGGAAGAAGAGGGCCAAATAACTATCGCAAGACCCATACTATATGGGTTTTTTGTGATCCCTTGGGTGACCTCTGTATAGGGTTAAAATATTTACCTTTCCCAATGAAACATCCTGTATAGTAAGAAGATACGGGGTGTTCAATTTGAAGAAATTTGCATTTAAAGTATTCTTGACATAGAAAGAAATCCATTATTATTTTTTTATTTTATTTATTTTCAGAAACAAACAGGCATTAGCATAATTACATAATTACACGAAAAGAAAAATAAAAATATTAAAAACACATAAATTAACAAAAGGGGAAATAAATCAACAAAACTAATAAAACTAATAAAAAAAGCAGCAAACCATTAAAAAAAAAAAGAAAAAATTATTGACGAGTGTTTAGCACAAATGTCTGTCTGAAGGAATTATAACTAATAATTTTATACTCTTGTGCGATGACATTATAGACGAGACAAATTTGATATCTAAAACATCTTCTAAAATATTCTGTACGAAACATAGGTGGAGTAAGCGTTTCCTTATACCTAATATTAATATTATGCACATCCGTTCGAAATATTATTTTTCTGTGCAGATAAGATGGTTTTTTGCTTGAGATTATTTTAAAATAAAGATTTGCAGAGTGAGAAAACCTTCTATTTTCCATATTAAGCCATCCTGCTTCTCTCAATTTATAGGATATTCTTTGGCGTCTTCTTATTCCATAAATTAATCTTAAACAAGAATTTTGAACTTTTTGAATTTTGGATTGATAGTAGTTTGTTTGGACCATAAACTGTATCTGAATAATTAAATATAGAACACAAATATCTAACAAAGAAGTAATTTAATTTTTTGTGAAATAAAATGTCTAACTCTATAGATCATTTTCAAAGAAAAATAAGCTGATCGAATTAGGTTACCCACATGTTTTTCAAATCTTAGATTCGGATCTAATATTACTCCAAAGCTTTTAGCTTCTTCGTTTATTTGAATAAGTTGATCATTCACTACGATACTAATATTTTTAGCAACTATATCTCTCTTTAGTTTAGGATCAAAAATCAGTACATTTGACTTCGATGAGTTAATAAGAAGACAATGATCACTTGCGTCATTTATAAAACAGTTTAGATCATTATTGATGATGTTAGAAGCATTTTGCACCTCATTTGGATAAAAACTATAATATACTTGGGTATTAACAGCATAAAAATGAGCTTTACAATTTTTTAATTTTTTTACTAAACTTGATGTATATATAGCAAATAGCATGGGACCCAAAATTGATCCTTGAGGTACGCCGCATTTTTTAGAATGTCTGAAAATTTACCGTTAATAGAAAGTTTCTGGTTACGATTCAAAAAATATTTACGAAATAACTGCTGAAGGTGATAAGCCAATATGATGTAAAATACTTAGTAAAAGTTCATGATTTATAGTATCAAAGGCCCTACTAAAATCTAACAAAACTAAATCTGTAGACTGACCCAAATCAGTTGCTCCATTATATTATCCACCACATCAAGTAATACCGTTGAACAACTATACCCTTTCCTAAATCCAGATTGAACATCAGGTAATATTTTTAACTTTTCAATATATTTTGTTAGCTGAACTTCTACAGTCCCCTTAAAAATGGTAAAATACTTATAGGACGTAGACAAAGAGGTATAAGCAGAAATTCCTGTAGTGATTTCTGTTGACTGCTGAATTATATGTTCGCTAATCTCTAAACAGAATTTCTATTTATATGCATATGTCATTATTGGAATAAAACTTTAAGACAGTAGTTTGGGCGCCCCAGAAAAGCTTTGCGCCCTCCGCCATTTAGCCCACGTTACGCCACTGTTCCGGTGCACGGATTCCATTCCCGCGGTTCTTCTAAAATGATAATTGCATTTTTTTTGTGTCAGTGAAAGGATTGATATGCAAAAACGATTTTGTAAAATGATAAAAAATGGCAGGTTTTTCGAAATAGGTGTTATATCGGAATCAAAGGTCATAGAAAGATTGAATTGCCTTTAAAATATTTCTTAACAAAGAATACTGTCACTGCGATATTTTTTTATTCGTTTTTACTCAGTGGTAGATAATAATTGATTCAATGTTATTTAGTAAAATATTCATGTTTTGAGGTCCTGTATCTATGATTAAAATATTGGTCATGCAGCTATTTAATGCACGATAAAACGGAAACTATCATATACGTATTGGTTTAAAAAGTAAACCAACCTTAAACTTTTATCAACTGCTTTAATTTCTTTCGATAAGGAACTCGATAGTCGATAGTAAATAATTATTTTTAATAGTTAACGTGGTCATTTTGAATAATTGAATTTTTTACTAAATACCTATACTGTGCTTTGCAATTATTATTCATTATTTGATGTAAACAAGTCGGTGAATAAATAAGTTTATATGAATATAATTGATTGATGTGTACAGCAACATTTTCACTAGTGAGTAATACAATAAATATTCTATTAAATAATTTATTAGAAGCATTCTTCGTGGCAAGAAAAATCTATTAAAAAAATTTTCATAATCAAGGTTTTATAAATCTAATAAAGGAATGTTAAAACAAACCTAATAAATATTGGGAAATGAACGTGTTTAGTTTCAGTAAAGTTAAACCTGAGTTAATTGATTCTATTGAAGTTGCCTAACTCTGCAAAATAAGTTGGCTTTGCTTGGTAAAAAAAAATTGTAAGAAAATTCGTTATCAAGATACAGGGTACTGAAAAAAAAATTACACATTTTTTACGATTATGTCGAAAGTATTGTCAACATTGTAATGAAATGTTATACGAATATATTTTGGAAGCTGACCCATCGCATAAATTTGTTCTAATAAATGCCTCTCATAGAGGGCGCTAGTTACATAGTTCGTACCGAGTAGTTTTAGACATAACTTTTTTGAGGTTAAATTTTCTAGTCCAAATTTTATGTAAACTCAAACATAATTTTATTTTACACCAAAAAGGTACTCTTTATAAAACTCGATACTGTGTACCGTTTTCGGAATATTTTAATTTAGAAATGATGAAGTAATAAGTGATACTGGTATAAAGTAAGTATTTATAAAAAACAATTACCTATTTATCAATTAAAATTAAATTATTCTAATGCTAATGTTATTAAACACAGAATCACAAGAAGAAAATTAAAATTAATTTGACTAAAAACATTAAATATGCAATCAGTTAGAGTGTTCAAAATGTCCTCCGTTTCCTCTTGAAGAAGTGCGAAAGCTCTGAGAACTACCGGTGAAAAAAATGCAGCGATTTCTAATTTTAATTAAATAACCAATCAACAGGCACTTAACTTTGAACATATTTTATTGGCTTCCAAGTGATGCTAATATACTACAAGGGGGTGACGCAATCGTTTTGTCTATTTTAACGTTATAGACTACAGAATTGGTGTAAGCTTTAATGCTGCAGAAGCGGCGCAAGATTAAATGTTGAGTGTAACAAAATGAAATTGTTTGATTACAGAAATTCGCTATAAAGTTTTTGTTAAAAAAATGCGCAACTAAAAATAGTAGATGAGATTAGCCAGACCAGGGTCAGAGGTACAGAGAGAGGTAATTGGGTAATTAGTAATTATCTTAAGTGCCCACCCCCACCCTTCGCGCAATTAGCAAGTACCTCCCAATTACTATCATGTACTGTAATAAGTGTAATTGCGTAGTGTAATGGCACCTCTCATTACTCCATATACCTAGAGGTGTAAGTACCTCTCAGAGAGTATTTACTATGTAATGTGTAACGAGCATAGTAAGTACCCATCGAAGTGTAAGTACCTCTTAGATAGTAATTACTATGTATATCATATAATGAGTTTAGTCTAAATATATTTCAGTGATTACTATTGTGGCATAGGGAAAATAAGTCCATGTCTAAACACATCCTTGACTCTCAACCGCCATAACTAGAGTGAAGCGCTAGTCTTCAGCAGACACGGGCCACATAAACATTGGTGGAAGGGGTAGAACCCCACCCTTCGCGCATCTTCAGACTTGTATATTATGAATAGCATAGGAGAGGTGGGTATTTTTAGAGAGGGTATATAATAGCGCCCATATCCAAATTAAATCAGTTTAAAATCATAAGCTTTAAGCGGGTGCCTCTCAGGCTTGTATGTTATGAATATGAATTGCATAGTAAGTACTTTTCAATTACCATATATACCATGTGTAATGAGTATTGTAAGTACCTCTCATTACTCCATACACATTGAAATGTAATGAGTGTAGCTACCTTGTATATATAGTAATTGCTATGCATGTCATGAAGTGTAATGAGTTTAATTTAAGTACCTCTCGGTTATTACTATTGTAACGTACATAGCGTTTTGTATCCTAATACATTCTAAATAATAGACAATTGTTTTTCATAAATGGGGGATGAAGTCCGCTCCTTGACTCTCAACCACCATGATTAGAGTGAGGAACCGGCCGGGCGCAAGCATACAGGGTATTAATATCGAGGTAGGAGCTTAAAAAAGTGGGGGATTTAGTTAACAAGTACTTCCCAATTCTGTACCCACTGTACTGATCCTAATTGCATAGTAAGAAACTTTCAATGTGTAATGAGCATCGCACTTTTAAATACTCCATTTACATGTAGGTATCTTGTATATAGTATGTTTATTATGTGTAATAAGTTGTAGTAAGTACTCCCCATTACTTCAAACACAATAAAGTGGTATGAGTGTAAGTACCTTATGTATAGTAATTGCTATGTATATCATGAAGTGTAGTGAGTTTAATCTAAGTACCTCTCGGGTATAACTATTGTACCGTACAGAGCGTGAATATCAAAGGAGCTTAAAAGAGGTGGGGGATTTTTGAGAGGATATATAGTAGCGTACGTATCCAAAAAGTTTAAACATCGTGAGCTACCACAGTGTATGGTTTCAAAACGGCTAGATACATACAGAAACAGAAAAAAATAAAATTAGAATAATTACAATATCTTTCTCAAAAATTTAAAACAAAAAAAATAAGTAAAACGCAGAAACATTGGCATGGCATACAACGATTTCAACTAAATGACCTATTATGTTTTGATTAGTTGAGATCTACGTATAATACGCAAACATCGAACTCAGGTATAAAAGGACCGGGGTCCTTTAGGTATCTAGTTGGGCTAAGTTTAGTAGAAATATGTGTTTTTTATGGTCGCCATCTATAACGAAGTTTAGGTAGTTCTTCTAGAGTAGGGTGATGAGATTTGGTAGAACACTACTTTTAATAGTTTTCGGATTATTTATTGTGGGTAGAAAACTACAATATTTTAAGAACAAAATAAGTAAATATTTGATGAAATATTTAGCTGTATATTATAATTACTAAAATATCGAATGTATATTGAATTAGTAGTCATTTATATACATATGCTAGGCTTTTTTTTTAAATTGGATTCACAAAAATATCAAATAAATAATAAAAATAGTGAAAATGTATAAGTGTACTTATTACAGTACATGATAGTAATTGGGAGGTACTTGCTAATTGCGCGAAGGGTGGGGGTGGGTACTTAGGATAATTACTAATTACCCAATTATCTCTCTCTGTACCTCTGACCTTGGTCCAGAACTGGCTAATCTCATCTACTGACGTGTCCGAGCGTTTTTCCGAACACGCCCCTATTTATTTATTACCGAATTTATTCCCTTTGGCTGTTCCACAATGTATACCAGAGATAACACTGTATACCGTTGCATATGGCGGCGTCCAGATACGAATACAGTCTCAGGAATTGGGCCAAGTTGCGTGGCCACACATTAAAAGTTATTTAATAACTTTGAAATCATTCTATGTTACTTGGTAAATGGCTCTGAGCTTCTGAGCCTACTGCTATGATTGATTATTATCGTACTCTTCATGCTAATACATCAATTATTTTATTACCATTATCTGAGAATATTCTGGAAAATCAAATTAAAATTTTTTGGAAAATGTTTGTGTCTTATCTACCTTTGCAGTAGATTTATTATTTAATTAACGGCTTCTTTTGTTTATCATCGTACATAGCAAAAAAGATTATTTGCATGTTATATTGTAACATTTTACGATTATCATCAAGGTATCTGCCTACGCACTGATAAGAAAAAACTATGACGAAAATATAACTTTAGAATAAAGATACCTTTATAATAATCTCAATTTAGAGCTTTTTGTCTCTAAAATGTTACAGCTGTGTAAGAGGAAAGTTTAACAAGACTTTACCAGATCCAAAATATTAAAATCTTATCAACCAATTTATGGTTTTCCTGGTTTCCATAGTAAAATTCTCCTCGAAACTACTAAAAGAAGACCGACAGAGGCAACTGAAAAAAGGTCTTTTTGAAATCAAAAACAAGAAATTTGTTGTATTTTTCTTTTTGATAACCTATGTTTAAATTTTTATTAGGACCAAAATGAATTATTTTCATTTTCACCACAAGAACCCTTATAATACTAAAAAACGGGGAAAACGTCAGATTAGTTATGTTCATGGACCGTTAACTCTTTAAAAATGTACTACTTTCAAAAGGTATGTTGTTAACTTCCATTAGTTCTTTTTGCGTGTGTAGTAATTATTTCATTTTATCACCGTTTATTGTATTTTCAAATTGATTTTGATATTAATATTATCTATTTTTATTTTTTGTATATTCACATATATGTTTTTTCATTAAAACAAACGTTTATTAGCTTATTAAACATAATTAATTCGCGTTGTTTTATTATATGCTTACATGAATGATTACTTTTATTTCTTTTTGAAAATTGATTTCAAAGCTAAATCCGAAATGGTGAGCGAAAATAGAAAATTATACGAGAATGACGATATTTATTGGATGTTTCATCTACGCTAACTTTTTCTAGACCTGACCCAGCAAGATTCATCTTCCCTCCATCCTTACATTCTTAAGATTTATAGAGGAAAAGCGGAGTCCTCTTTCACATATCCTGGCCTTCTTTCACAAGGACTATATCAGCCATATATGTTATCCCGAGCAAAGCTTTAGAATTCAAATAATTAGAATAATCACTATTCAAAAATAGATAATATATACATATATTTTCTCAAAGCAATTATAAAGTATTTACTTGACAATGAATTGAACTTTGTGAGATAAACCACTAGCTGATAAACTTATATTTACAAATAATATTCCCCCAAAGAATAATCTACATATTTACAGACAGTTACAGCCATAAACTCGTGCCTGGTGAGTGAGTGTATGGGAAACTTTGTAATTTTCTTCTTGATGAAAAACGTAAGCAGAACGCATTTTCTTTAGATAATAGTAGGATAATTTTTTGTATTAAAAAACTGATTCTGATTGTATTTAGTCCAAAATGATAGGCAGTAACATTCAATCAAGTACATTGGCCTTATAATTAATATATTATTTAATAGTAACCTAATCTGGTTCCGTATCCGTCATTCGCCATCAAACTTTC